CCCTTCGGCCTCATGACAAACTCTGCCAAGAAGTGACAGAGCACCCAATCACTTGGTCAACCCGACCGAATGAGCCAACCACGAGCTAGCGAGTGCGCACACACCTACTCATTTAGATTTAACTAATCAGCCGAAGGCACCACCACTGGAATGACCCTAACGTATTCCACTTGGTGCGATACACTGAGTGCTGGCACCTTCATGGGATGGTTCGCACATCCACTCACTTGGTTCGATGCATCGAATGTTGACACCTTCATGAATAGTTTGCACATCCTCTCACTTAGTTCGATACACCGAGTGAGGACACCTTCATTGGATAGTTTGCTCATCCTCTCACTCAGTTCGATACACCGAGCAAGGACACCTTCTAGCAGATTTTTTCATGCTTCCCCTCGATCCGATGCACTGGGCAATTTTTTCAAGGTAAACTCCACTTTCTTACTTGGTTAGATACGCCAAGTGAAGGCATGTTTGTGTTTCACCTCCACCCACCCACTAGGCCTGGTATACCAAGTGTGTCACTTATAGTAAAAACTATACTATTTGGTTCTGTGAATAGAAGTAACACATTCACATACTCAACCAGTCAGTCACGAAGGATGACCAAGCTCACCTTCACGCAACATCTACTCTCTAAGCTAAGCACTCTTTAACTCAGAGATTGGGGGGCTAACTGTTAGGACCAAAAATGTTCTTGGACCAAATAGGCCCAAAGACGAAGTCTACTTTAACAAAGCTCGGAGCCATGCCCCAATTCTGATTGGGCCTACAACAGAGTTTGCACATTAGGCCCACCCATTACACCTGCCATGTTGCTCACGGCCTAAGCCCAATCAATAAAGAGTCCCGATTCGTTTGGACCTCACCATTGGCTTGCCTGGGTCTGAGCCCATTGATCCTAGACCACCTACTATACTTAGGGTTTACTTAGAGCCTAGGGTTGCCTACTTACTCCAGCACTATCCGAACTTTATCAAAGAAATCCATTATTATCCTAATTCATCTAAGATTCGTATCTTAGACCTGCTAGGACTCCCTTTCCCACTAAGGTAAAGGAGTTAAAGGCTCTCATTTTTTTACAAAACCTCAACTTCTAAGGACTCATAGTCCTATTAGTACTTAAAGATCCTACAGTTGCTATAAACAAGAGGCCAGCCCTTCCACGGGCACGAAACATTACGCCTTCTAACCCCGTAGTTCTCACTCTTGAGAACTTCGCATCACAGCAGTAGTTATAGTCTCCGACTAGACTTTTGGTAACCTTCTCTTTTCCTAATCCTCACTAAATTAGCCTCACTCAGCCTTACTGACTTGAGCGTCAGAGTGCCTATGGCAAACACCACCCCGATGTTTTTAATTTGCTTCACACTTGTTTCCTCGCGTGTGCAGGTGTAGCGGATTATTGGTTGCCTCAACCTCACAAGATCAGACCCTATTTCCGTAAAGATAGATTTTTTGCTTCTACAACAATCATTCGGCTTATGGGCCTTAACAATTTGTACCCAACAATCATGATTTAGTTTTCTATTTCTGACTTTCTTCTTTTCTAGTTTTATTGTTATTGATTAATTAATTTGATTTTTCAAAGGAATCTAGAAGAACAACAATCACTAGTATTCCTTGAATGTGACATAAAGCCACCAACGCATCTAAATCAAGAGTTTAAAGACATATGTTAGATAAATTTTATAACAAATGATTTATGAAAGAAATATACCAGATTTTTAATGTTGATTATATATCATAGTAACTAAAACAATAAAATGAACGTTGATCCTTTTATTGGGTACTTTTAACAAAGTCATTCTCAAACTGTCATTAACTAACAAAGACAAGTCTCATATCTCTATGACTAAATTTATAACATTAACTTGTAGTTTTGCATTCATATGATATATTTTTAGTATGTTTTTAGTGATCCAATGCTATCTTCTCGAGGGAACATTCGGACTATCTGAAGTCTCCTCCTGATGGACAGTCAGGATGGGGATTGCCTTTTGTTGGTTGGACAGCAGTCTAGTTTCCTTTCAAAACCAAAAAAGTCTCCTTCCATATACATTACTCGTGAAAATACATTAAAAAAAAATCAAAAATAGAAATGGTGAAACGTAATAAACCCTTTAAAAATATTAACAAAACCTCTTACATTAGAAATTTATCTTTATTAGCTCTTAACTAGTTAATTTTATACACCCCAAAGAGATATTCGAAAGCCCCGTTTCTTTTACATAAGATTTGACACAACTCTTAAACTATTAGATTAAAGTATTTAAATGGCTGAAATTGAATCTAAATTATGTTATTTTGAAAGTGCATTCACTGTGCTAGTTGCATAGAATCTCAATCACCCAAAGTGCAAGATCTAATGGCCTAAAACTTGTGTGATTATTTATGTAAAAAGAAAATGAGGCTGCTGATCCTTCCCTATATATATATTATACAAAACAAAAACATGTATATGGAGAGAGAGAGAGAGAGAGAGAGAGAGAGAGAGAGAATATTAACTGCTTTGAGTGCTCCCAGCAAAAGTAGCCTATGGATTAAAGAGGAGGACCATAATTAAGAGGAAGCAACAAAAAAGTGAACGAGAGATACCAATAATGCTTACCATTTTTGTTTATAATATAGTATAGAGATGGTATTGCCTGCATATATGTTGAAGTAAAGAAGCCATGGCTTAAATTTCCAATATTCTAGCTTTGCTTAATAAAATCAAAGCTGTTGACTTGCACGGTTCCAGTTGTAGACTTCAGATTGCTTGACAAAGTTTTCAACAAATTTACTTCGTTTTCCAGATTTTCAAATTAGTTAGTGACAAATAATATAATGATATGATGACAACTAATATAACGTTATAGATACGTTCTTGACTTAGAATGGGTGTGTTGTCTATATATTGCATTCTTAAATGATATGATGACATTAATTGATAAACACTTAATCAATAATGAAATATGATTAAGTGTTATAATTTTACATATACAAACTCCTCATACAAGCTCACCCATACAAATTGATATATTTAAATGTGATCGGTGATTTTAAATTACAAATAATCTAGATAAATTAGAGAAAATGGTATGTTAAAAATATAAGGTTGTCACATCAGTTGTATACGTAGCCTTACTCTTTCAATTATATTTAAATCATGAGTACATTAATCTGAAACCGCGTTATATGGTCTTAGAACTTGACTTTTCAATTCACTAACTTTGTTGACCTTGAAATTATTTTTAAAATTTGAAACAAAAATAATACATGCCAATTTCTACTTCTAGGTTGACATAATCAATTCAAAGTCACTTACTGGAAAACGCGTACTCTAACTTCCAATGCATAGTAATAAAACTAGAAAAGTCTTAGAAAATTAACTTTCAAAGATCTTAGGCCGTGTATTAATTAAAAAACTCAATGGTTCAGATTTCAATTTGACAAATTATAATCATTCTACTTACGCTTAAATACTTTTCATTTCCCAAATTTCTTTTGAGCTAAAAAATTTCCTCTTTTTTCTGTATTACTTTTAATTGTATGTTTCATTTCTCTTCAGCTACTATATTAGAATTTCATATTCTATCAAAATTTCCACTGACATTAAAGTCTAAATACTTGACTTTTCAATCAAATTGCTTATTTGCAGATAAGGTTAGGGAAATTTCCCCAAAGAAATTTATTTCTTTCTAACTTGACCTATGATGTTATGTTAATTTCTTAATGAAAGACGTAACTTTGCCTCAAGATTTCAAAAATATCATTGATTAAGTTGAAAAATATAATGAATACGATATGTTTTGAATTTGTTTTAATCAATTTGTTACTAATAAACGTTTGTTAGAGTCTTATGTCTGAATAAATGAATAATTTCAAATTTTACGTTTTTTTTTAAAGGTTATGGTTTCAGTTTTTTTTTTTATTTTTTAAAAGAAAAGACAAGTTATGGTTTTGCAATACTGTTGTAAACACAAAAGTCAATTGTATTTTCCAAGTCAAGTCAAGGTAAATGAAACTTGATAGAAATTAATTAACCATTCATTTTTCCAAGTCAATAGTTGTCGATAGAAACAAAGTAACTACAATGACTTGGAAAGTTATGTTGGTTCCACATTACTTTAATAACCCCTTTGTTGTTTATTTTAACACCAAAAAATTAATGGTAGGGGGATTTTTGTTATTTCTATAACAACAGAGAGATTTTTGTCAATTTATCATACCTAAAGGGAATTATAGTTATTAACCCTTTATTTTAATTAAATCATTGTTATTCTAAAATAATGGAAGTATTTTGATAATTAATATTTCATAGACAGCTTTTGATTTTTAAAAGTCACATACACCTACTTTTTGAATTAATTTATATCGATTATTTCATATTCAAATTTTAATATAATCTCTTTTCAAATTAGTTAATCAAATACTTTTATAAACCAAATCGTAATAAATTAATCATGTATTAGGTGGCTAATAATATAGTATTAGATGTATAAAGACTTGGGCGTTGGCTCAAAATAAGTCTTCTTCTTTTGCAATCCAACACTTCATGTCTCTCCTGGCATCAATGAAAAATAAATTGAGTTAATTAATGGTCATAATTAGGCCAAAATCATGTTGGATAATATCTTCAACTCCAAAATTTTAAAATAACAAAGAAAATTCTAATCTATACAAAAGCAAATAAAATTTTTATCAAGTGATTGCTGCACATAGTTAGACATTGTTTCTCTATGGCTTCATCAAAATCTTCATCTTCCACTACCCTTCAACACAAATACGAGGTGTTCCTTAGTTTTAGAGGTGAGGATACTCGTGAGAACTTTACTAGCCATCTCTATGCTGCTTTTTGTCAGAAAAAGATACAAACCTTCATTGATGATGATGGACTTAAGAAAGGAGATGAAATTTCGCCTGCACTTTTGAAAGCAATTGAAAAATGAAAGATTTCTGTAATCATTTTCTCAAGAGAATATGCTTCTTCCAAATGGTGTTTGGATGAACTAGTAATGATTCTTGAATGCAAGGAAAAGAATGGTCAAATGGTGATGCCGGTCTTTTATCATGTCAATCCATCTGATGTGAAGAAACAAACTAGAAGCTTTAAAGATGCTTTTACTAAGCATGAAAAAAATTTCAAAAAGATGCCTGAAACAATCCAAAGATGGAGAGCTGCCTTGATTGAAGCATCCAATTTATCTGGATGGGATTCAATGGTGATTAAGTAAGTTGACTCTTTTTTTGTGCATAAAATTTTCTATTTATTTTTATTTTTAGACTATGATCATATAATTGAGACCCAATGGTACATGACCGGCTATAATTAGGTCTTCTGATAAATTAACAATGTTTTTATCAATCTCAGTCGCTTAAATAACATTACGATCTTCATTTATGATATTTCTCTTCTTTATGGTCATTGCTTTAAACTCAATATTTCTCTTCTTCGTATTGTTAGGCCTGAGTCAAAACTTGTAGCTGAAATTGTCAAAGAAATACTGAAGAAATTGAAGGACGTATCACCCTCAAAGTGATTGTGAAGGCCTTGTTGGAATAGATTCTCGCATTTATCGTATTAAGTCATTATTGTGCATTCAATTGTTAGATGTTAAAATTGTAGGGATTTGGAGAATGGGTGGTATAGGTAAAACAACTATATCTGGAGTTGTGTTCAACCAATTTTCTAGTCAATTTGATGGTTGTTGCTTCATTGCAAATATTAGGGAAGAATCAGACAAATGTGGCCTAGTACACATACGAAATCAACTTCTTTCTCAAATATTAGAAGAAGAAGAAGATCTCACATTAGGCACTCCAATTATACCAGAATATATTAAGAAGAGACTTCAATACAGAAAGGTATTCATTGTCCTTGATGATGTCAGTGATATAGAACAAATAGAATTTTTAATTGGACGGATTGATCGACTTGGTCCAGGAAGTAGAGTCATTGCAACCACTAGAGATAAACAAGTGCTTTGCAATTATGGAGTAGAAAACATATATGAACTTGAGGGGTTTGAGTACCATGAAGCTCTTCAACTTTTTTCTGGCTATGCCTTCAAGCAAAAATGTCCCTCTCAAAATTTTTGGGAGCTCTCAAACAAGGTAGTAGATTATGCCAAGGGTAACCCCTTAGCTCTCAAAGTGTTGGGTTCCTCTCTATATCGAAAGAGTGTACATGATTGGCAGAGTGTATTGCATAAATTAAAAAGTATTTCTAATCCGAAAATTCACAATGTGTTGAAGATTAGTTATGATGGACTTGATCATGAAGAGCAAGATATATTTCTTGACATTGCATGCTTTTTTAAAGGGGAGAATAGCAAACGCGTAACAAAAATACTAGATAGTTGTTACTTTTCTACACATGTTGGATTGACTGCCCTTATTGAGAAATCACTTGTAACAATATCATACAACAAGCTAGACATGCATGATTTAATACAAGAAATGGGTTGGGAAATTATTCGTAAAGAATCCTTCAAAGAGCTTGGCAAACGTAGTAGATTGTGGAATCACGATGATGTCTTTCATGTATTGAAGAATAACATGGTAAGAATTAAATAATTTGATTATCTTTCTTATAAAATATTTTCTGATAAGGAATGAAGTCACATATTATCTTTATAAATTTTGCAAAATTTTATGTTTTTTTAATACTGACTTAATATATATATATTTTTTTTTTCATATGAAGGGGACTGATGCAGTTCAAGGCTTGTTCTTAGATATGTCCAAAATACCAACTTGCATCTAAGTTCAGAAGCCTTTGAAAATATGCCAAATCTTAAATTTCTCAAATTCTATGTACCGTATCAACAAGTTAAAGAGTCTTTAAATATCTCTAAAGTGCATCTTTCCCAAGGACTAAAATATCTTCCCAATGAGTTGAGATATCTCTATTGGCATGGATATCCATTGAAAACACTGCCATCAAATTTTAGTCCAATAAACCTTATTGAACTCCAGTTGCCGTATAGTAATGTTGATGTACAACTTTGGGTAGATAACAAGGTATGATTCAATAGTTTAATTATGTATTTCTTTGTTATAGAATGTATTGTAATGTTGATTCTGATTCATTACAATCATTATGTTTTACTACAGCATGGTTCAGATGTCTAGTTGCTTGATCAGCTTAATAACTCAGATGGTCCAGAGCGTGAACATTGCCAAAGTTTGGTTGAAATTCCCTTATCTATCCAATATCTCAACAACCTCCGTATCTTAAATTTGTCTCACTGTGAAAGTCTTAGGACTTTTCCGAGCAACATAAATTTTAGAACTCTTATCACTCTTAACCTCTCCTATTGCTGCAATCTCAAGATGTTTCCACAAATTTCGGGGAATATCAAAAAGTTAAATTTAATTGGGACAGCAATTGATGAAGTGCCATCATCAATTGAGTGTTTATCTGAGTTAGATACATTACGACTGTGGAAGTGCGGTAGGCTTACGAGTATTTCAAAAAGCATTTTTAAGTTGAAATCTCTTCGTATGCTTTCTCTTTGGCGTTATAGAATACCCAAAAGTCAATTATCATCCTTTCTTACATGTTGGAAGGAATTTAAAAGTTTATGCTTACGTTTCTGCAATATAAAAGAAATTCCCGACGCTCTCTTTTGTTTATCCTCATTGGAAAGATTAGATCTAAGTGGAAACATATTTGAGAATCTTCCTACAAGTATCAAGAAACTTTTTCAGCTGAGATGCCTACGGTTAATCTGTTGCAAGAAGCTTCAATCAATACCAGAACTTCCACAGGAACTAGAACGTTTAAATGCAAGCAATAGCAGGCAACTCCAATCAATAGCACTGCCTGCATCAAATCTAGAAGGATTGGATGAAGCAGAACTGGAAATAATATCAGAAAGGCTTTGCTCATCTTCAGGCCGGCCTATAGCATTCAGATTTACAAACTGCTTGAACCTGAATCAGAATGCAAACAACAACTTTTTGACAAATTCACAGAAAAGAATTCAAAATATGGCAACTGTAGCACTAAGACTTTGTTATGCAAAGGTTACTCCCTCTTTTTACTCTTCTTTCTTCTTCTCGTGCGCTCTCTATCATATCATGATTGATTTCATATTACAGGATTTTGATGAAATACATGAAATCAGCTTATCTTTACCTGGGAGTGAAATTCCTGGGTGGTTCAGCCATCAAAGTTCAAGATCTTCAATTATTATCCGGCTACCTCAACATTGGAGTAACAGAAAGTTGATTGGATTTGCTATATAGGCCGTTCTTGCATTTGGGACAAGTAATCAAGGAGCTGTTTTAGTAGAAGTCAATTGTAGGTGCAATTACGGAATTATTGGTAAGTTTTGCTGGAGATGTTTTGTGTGCTATCCGCGGTCAAATCACATAGTATTAGGATATACGCCTTGCATAGATCTTAAGGGTGACTGCACAATTGCCTCATCTGATTTCAGCCTATTGTTAGATAAAAAGAAAGTAAGCCCAGAAGCAGGTTTAAGATTGAAATGTTGTGGGGTTCATCCAATACATGTACAACCCAACATGACCAGTACTGAATATTTAGGTGAAACAGCAAAAGCAGACAATGAAGATTTAATGAGATTGCACGATGAAAATACTTGTGGAAGTGAAAGTGGAATTGAAAATGGAACATCTAAAGAGGTGGAAGTGGAACCAAACGCCGACACATATTGCTATTTAAGAGCTGGTTACTTATTCCTCTTCTTGATTGTGCTTTTTGGCTGCTGGAGCCTCTTAATGGTAATTTATCTATTATAATTTGCTTTCATGTCTATTATTGATATTAAAAAAAACTTGTTCTTTCTTTGGAAAACTCTTTATCCTCTGTTTTTTTGGCATAATATGGAAATGTTAATTAAATTTATGGTTTGTTTCATTGTTTTGGTTTACTGAATTTGTCGGCAATTATTGATTGAGAAATTTTATGATTTATTGAAAATTCAGGTTGCAATGACGCAATTGAGTTTTATATCACTAAATTAATTGTTGTTAACTGAGTTTATAAACACTTGGACGTCTCCCCTATAATTGATAGTATAGTGCCTGGATAACTTTTGCGGCTTTTTGAAGTAGTAATAACTCTACTGCCAATGTTTATGAAGATTTTAAAGTGCTCAATTTTGAAGACAACAAACTGAAATTGAGCTCTCTGCTTTTTTCTTTTGCTAATTTTATGAATGGTTTGTAATGTTTTCCATTTTGGTAAAGGGAAAGCTTTTGAAGATGAGGTAGATGATCTACTACTGCTAGATTTGGAGTTCAAATTGGAGCTGAAGGAGAAGTTCAGTTAAATCTTTTTGCAGCTTATGAATTAGGTATAATTAAAAAACTATATGAAATTTAATGAATTAGTTTTATTGATATTCCTAAAATTTGATTCATGATTTTGGATTTTATAGATAATTTGTTGTGAAATAGTTGGATATAACATTGCTAGAATTGATCAAATGAGTGAATGAAACTTTAGCAAACAAAATTAAGAGATACAAATCTGTATTAATGGAATATAAACTTTGGATGGGAAGGTGATATTTTGAAACTTTTTGGGTAAAAAAATGTCTTTACGGCAAACTTTGGGTGGGAAAAAGTCGTTTACTCATATATTAACTAGTATTGCTGTAACGCTCACATTGAAGTACGTAACCTAACTTATGCTCTTATACCTTTAGTTAATTTTTGTTAAAGTTATTTTGAGAAAATGCCTTAAAATTTCATTAGGGGTAAAATGGCCTTTTCATTCAAAATTAGTTGAAATTGTGGGGAGTGAAAAGAGATAGAATTTCATGGAGAATGCAATAAAATGAGGGCATTATGGTAATTGACTAAAGGACATAGATGAAATTTTAAAGAAAGTGCAAGGGCAAAATGGAAAACTAATATATAATATTATGTTATATCAAGGATTGAAGGATGAAACCATAGCCACTCTTCATCCATTTTCACGCCACCTTCACCTTCATATTCTCTCAATTTCTTCAATTCTTCTTCAAGGAAATTCATAGATTTTGGGTACTTTTAATCAATGTTCTGAAAACCAGACCGAACAATGACCCGTTCAAGGGTTCGATTTCTGGTTTGACCGGTTTGACTGGTTGGATCGGTCGGTTGGACCGTAATTTGTAAAATTACATTTTAGTCCCTAGAGGTTTGAAATTCATCAAAAACACCCATATAATACTCACTTAAGGTTTGAAATCTATCTAAAACACCCCTATCACGTGAAGATTCTGGTGAGTGTGGCGGCACCGACGATCGACGGCCAATCGAAGATGGAATCTTGGGGCTTTTGATGTGCAGGTGCTGGCGACTCAAATGGTGGTGCGACGGAGTTTCATCGGCATTGGAACTCATCGGAATCAACGAAAGAAATCCGACGTCGCGTAAAGCCGTAAACTTTAGGTGGACGGCGATCGACGAAGGCTGGACGACGGCGATTGAAAATGGATGGTTTTGGTCCTGGAGATGCCGTCCGTCGAATGAGGGTGTTTTCTTCGTCGAAAGATGCCGGAATCTGACGGCGATTGGACCGTGATTGGGCACTATTCCGGGGGTCCAACCGCGGTCCAATCTGGTTTAACTTCAAATAGCAGTTTTTTATATATACCGGACCGGATTTGTCGTCGGTTGCCGGTCAAACTGGTCCAGTTTTCAGAACACTGCTTTTAAGTGGATTTTCAATCCCAAGCATCCTTAGGTAAGATCCTTGCACTAAGAACTGAGTTTTAATTTTTAAAGTATTGAATTTTGATGATTTGTGTTCATAGGATTTAAGAGAAAGAGAGTTGGATCAAAGAAGATTTTTAATGTGTTGGATTGCTCACATAGAAGGTAAGTAAATCCTACCCTAAGTATGAATTAAGTAATATTGTGTAAAGAATTTCTTTTATGCATATATATGTTTTATATGAAGAATTGTTAATGGATTTGGTGTTAAATGATGATTATAACTTATCGATGAGAAGTTGTGTTGGTGTATTTGATTTTTGATGAATGTTTGGATGAAGTTTGGAAGAATTGGAATGAAAATTTTGGAGTGTATATTTTGGACAAGTTTGGCGTTAAATATGGCGGGTTTTATTCCCAATTTTTGGTGGCTTAGAAAAGACATACCAAATTAGAGTTACTTTGTGCACATAAGTTGTTTGATGAAATGTCAAAGAGAAGTGTTTGTATAAGTATGATTATATGTTATATTGAGATGCGTTTGTAGATGGTAGAGAATGACATGTTTGCATTCCATATTGCATTATTGCATCTAAACATGTGAATTTAGAAAGAATTATAAGCATGAAACCATCTACATGCATACATATTCCTAAGAGCATGAAAAAGCACTAAAGAATGTTAAAGAGTAAATAGAAAGAAATGAGGATATTAAAGAAGTTCAAATCTGAATTTTATTTAAAGAAGTGTAAAAAAAAAAAAAAAAGGTTGTTGCGATGGGGAACCCATGAGTGACAAGAAGAATTTTCCCCACATGCACACCGTCTTTAGTGAGCGGCCTAAGAATAAGAAAGAAGAAATGGTACAGTCCGTAAGAGTGCATGTGGATGAGGGCTATACCCAAGAAAGAAGAATACACTCACACGGCCAAGGTTCCAAATCCATGCCTCAACCGAGTCCGATCGGCAAAAGAGAAAGAAAGAAAAGAAAAGAATGAGAAAGAATAGAAAGAAAGACCAGAAAAGAAAGAAAGAAATACAGAAAAGAAACAGAAAATAGAATAAGAAAAATAGAAAAGAAAATGCACATTTTATGCATTTGTGCATTTGCATCATATATATGCATAATACCAAACCCATTATCTAAGTAGTGAAAAATAAGAATATAGAAAGAATAGAGAAAGAACAGAGAGAAAAATAGAGTAAGAGTAGAGAAAGAATAAAGAAGAATGGAGAAATGTGAAGTAAGGAAAGAAATTCAGAATTTAAGCAACGGAGAGAGAAGGGTAGCATAGCGGGTTTACTTTTTGAGCAATTAGTGCTCACCCCATTGTTTTCAATGTTTTTGTAGGAGACAAGTGAGATGCGGTCACTTGAAACATCGCGCAGCGGAAGGGTTGGGCAAACTGTCTAGTTACTATTTTGAGACTTTATTATATTATATATAAGTTTTGTGTA